TATCATACACGACCTGCAAGATTAATCATACGAGCCTGACTCGTTAGTTTTTGTTCTCAGTTCATCCGCAAAATCCGCAAATTTCCGGCGTTCCTCAATGGAGATGAGATTTGTGGCCTCCTTTCGGCTTTTCTAGGTGTCAAATCGTGGCATTCTTTAAGTGACAACGAAATATTTTTGCCCCCTGAAAATGCCCAAAATGCCAGTCAAATTTGACATTTTAAGAGGTCAAAAATTTGCAGTCTGTGCGAAAGAATGACGAGAAAATTTGCTATTTAACAGGAATGCAAAAATGTTGGCAAACGCCTCAATGTGGCACGGTTTGTTTCGTTTGAGGTAATGTTTTTGGAACAGTGTGCGCAGCGGCAGGGAAGCACCACCGTGTCGGCCGGCTCCACGGAAACACAATCTGAATGAATGGGCCGAACAATAGGGACAGGTGTGTGGTGTGACTGCGGCAGAAAGGAATATGGACTGCCCCCGCCACGGGACCCGTCACGGGAAAATCCGGCCGAAATTAAGAAAAATCAAATCGATATATCTGGGAGCGGCAGCGGCGGCTCTGCTGACGGTGCTGCAGCCGCCGCGCCGCACCCGTTCCTTCCACCAATCATTGGGCGGGATGACTCCTTGGATGACTCCCACGCGCACGGAGATATGTTGGAGAGGACGGTGCAGGGCGGTGCGGTGGACGGGGGGAGCGGGCATGAGGACGAGCCAGCTCGCGCAGACCGCGGCGGCGCCGCCGTCGAGTGGTTGAGGTCCCTCTCCCGAGCGTATCGGCAGGAATCAGGGCCCCTCCCTCTCCTCAACGGGCAGGGACGGCGGGATGACAAAGTGCAAAAGAACGCCCGGCCGGCCGCCGCCTTCCGCAGGCTACCGCAGGCCAGGAGGCAGGCAGCCGGACAGGCAGCCGGACAGGCAGCCCGAGCTGGGTCCAGCTCAAGGAGAATTGGCCATATTTATGTCGGCGGCTAAAGCGCGCGGTGGCTCAGCCCGGGCTCGCGGCTGCTGTGTCGAATTATTTTTATATTTTCTCCTCAAATAATTTCCATCCCAACAGGGATATGCCCCGGCCGGCTTACGCTGAGTGGCAGCCATAAACATAGGCCATCCCCGGGCAACTTACGGCTTTTCAGAGAAATCCTGCCCCCTGTCCCCTCCGCCAGAACTGTGTCCGCGACCCGCACCTCGCCGTCAAACCCGCGACAGGCCGACGCTTTTACGATTAGGATTAGGGAAACGCTCAGGTGAGGAAAGAAGGAGCAA